TATCTAGTCACCCTCGCTTTCCTTTACCTATTCTTTCAACTTGTACAACATTTATTTTCTATGAAATTCATTTTGGCTATTAATCTCGTTCTTCTTCATGTTACTATGTGTTCTATGTGCCTGTCTTCCAGGGTCAATGACAAATTCCTACACACAAAAATTGTATTTTACACTACTTTTAATATCTAGTCTGGCTTGATAACTAAACTCTTTAAAAGTGAGCTATTCTGACCTCTCATAATCCTTGTCTCATAATCCTTGTATACTTACATACTACAGGGATATTCTACATTTATAGGATTGTTATTCTCAGTTGTATTATGTGTTACATAAGACTAAGAATCAAGTCAAAGGTAATTTATCCCCATGAACAACCAGTGGTAGCATTAATGGACTCAACTGATTTTTTATACATATTGAAAATCTCAGTCAACCCCCATGATTACTTTCGAAGAAAAGAAAAATAGGTAAGTAAATATTTCATTTTGCTTTTAAAACTGGCCTAAAAACTGCACACCAACCTATTTTTTTTTTTAAAGGGATGGAAGAAAGGTTTCAGAGAAGAAAGGGATGCTGTCAGAGTGGACCAGAAGTGGTAACAGAATAAGGCAGAATTTTAGGTGCTTCTGGGGACAGGCCGGCACTTCTCCCTCCCCACCACTAAGAGTAACAACGAACAGATGAAAGTAGGATGAGCACCAACACATTTAGACAAATGCTCAAGTTCTCTACTGAGAACTGTTTCACTTCTGAGTTGGGCTGAAAATTATCAAAATGTCAGAGACCATGACAACTGGGCAGACAGCTTTTGTGCTCAAAGAAGTGCCTTTGAACAAAGCTCTATAATAATGCTTGGGTGTATCCTGCATTATTTTTCACTCAAAATGTAATGTCCCTAGGCAAAGATAATCTCAATCTATAATTAGCAATTTACCAAACCATAATTTTGATTAGAGATGTACTTTGCTTGAAAATAATTCTTTTACTTACATTTCTACAACACTACATTTAGAAAGCACTTTCACATGTAGTTCATATTTGATCCACCAAAGAAGGGTGAGGATGAAAGTCAAATATTGTTACCCACAATTTATAGGGCTTGGTAAATTTACATTCTGCATGCCAAAGGATATCTACAAATTTGAGCGCTAGAAGACTCAAAATCAGATCTTAAAGCTCTTAATCTAGGGAAAATGTCACAGTATGGGGGTGGGGCAGGGAAATAACATTTAAATGACAGTAGACAAATAAGAGCTTTAATCTTGATACTTAACTGCAATTAACAAGTAAAGCAACCTCAGATCACTGAATTGCTAAAGGCTTCATTTTTCTCATCTTAAAAAGGAGAAATCTGGACTAGATGTTTTCAGCATTCACTCAAAAATAGTTATTAAGCCCTAACAACAGGTAGGCACTAGGTGATATAAGATAATAAAGGTAGGGTCTTCCTCCTAAAATAATTCACAGATTAGTAGAAAGACCTAACACATGAAGAAGATAACCAAGGAATAATGTGATAACAACAAAAGATAACAGCTCTATGAAGGGCAGAGGAATAATTTAGCAAAGAATGAGGTTGGGAATTTAAATCTGAATTACGTCTTAAAGGATGGGAAAAAAAACCCTATCCAGACAAAAAGAGGACAGAAGAACATTCCAATCAGTCGGAAAAGCACAAACAAAGGCTCAGAGTAGAAAGGCAATATAGTTCGTACAGGGAATTATGAACAGTTCAATCTGCTGAAGTATAACTCCCCAAGAGAGGTGAAGTGAGAGCTGAAGGCAGAGGCCAGGTTGAGCAGATTCTTCTATGATACATTCGGGAAGCTGGACTTCATCCAGTAGGCAACAAAGAACCAGGGCAGGGCTTTCAAAGGGGAACGCATCATTAGGATTTAATTTTAGAAAGATCACTTTGACAGTCACATGAAGGAAGAAAGAATGTGAGTGGTAGAAAGCAGAGGCAGATCTTCTGTTAGGAATCTGTAGCAGAGAAAGGCTTTAAGTTCAAGAAATAAGAAGGAAAATCAGCAAGATTAGAAATGAATTGATTTCTTTGAGGAGTGAAGATTATAGAGAAAAAGGCATAGAATGAAATGGATCCAGGTTTCTGCTCAAAACAGAACTGGGATACTGAATATAAGGGAAACCAAGCCAGATTATCTTCAGTTCAGTTTAGGACCTGTTGAATCCAAAAATTATCTAGGTAAAGACGCCCTGAAGTCAGTTGACTACAGTAACCTAATGCTCATGAGAGAGGCCTGTCCTGAAGGTACCTAAGCTGCATACTACCTTTACATGGCTTACTTCACGGGAATGTGACAACTGCACGGACAGGGGACCAAGTGAGAGGAGTGCTTGGCCAGGACCCAGTTAGATACCAAAATGCATGTAAAAGGCAAAGGAAGAAAGCCAGGAGAGAGGAGCATTCCAGAACACAGTGGGAGATTATCCCAGGACAAAACTGGTGATCAACAGGACAAAATGCAGCCTGGATCTGAATCCAGGAAAAGATCTGAAAACCACCTACCAGGCCTGGCAATTGAGGAGTCACTGGAGAATTATCTGAAGTGTGTTTCAATCAAGTGAGTAACAGAAAGCTAGATGGCAGTGGACTGACAATTACAGTCTACTGTTTCAGAAACTTTCAGTCAGAAGGAAAGGAACTTGAAACTTAATGAGATTGGAAAGATCAATTCCAAGCGCCTCCAAGTTCTCATACTTTATTTTTTCATATGGATAAAAAACCCATTTTTGGTAAAATTCCATTAAAACTCACATCAAATAAATCTGAAGTACCATTTTTAATTACCAGGAAAAACTGGAGACTCATAGGTAGCTATCTGTGGAAATAGGTATTTATAACATTTCCCAAAATACCTTGAAAAAGTCTCTTTTATCATATATTAAACAGGGGAAAGCACTGGTAAAGTGACCCTCTCCTGCTCCAACTATTCCTTCTCTTAATGCCCCATAAAAACGTCCTTTGTCCCCCTCTGCCTGGAATGTCCTTCATTTCTATTATGATTGCTTAACTCCTTATTCACTTTGAGGGCCTGCTCAAACTCCCTCTCAGAATCACAGAATTTTGAGATAATCTGGTAAGTCAAAATGTTTACACTATACCGATGAAGGAACTAAACACCAGAGAGTTTCAGAGAATGCGGGGCCTAAGGTCATACCCAGGGCTTGCGGCAAAGCTGAAATTTGAACTATTTGTCCATCCAGTGTCCATTTCACTACTCATTATTTCCTCAGGTAATTATTAGGTAGACTGTTTAAGAATGCAAAAAGTTTACCTTCAAGAATAATTAACTAAAAATCATTTATTTAGTTTGTGATCCATGTGAGTATACTTCTAAACACTAAGCAGCTGGTCTTTACTTTATTTGCTAGTTTGAGTGAACTGCCTACAACTACCTGGTTAGACAAGTAAAGATTACAGATGTCAGCTATTATTTATTTCATGGATAAGCTGGCTGTCAGTCACTAAAGAGGATCTCTCCCCAAGAGTGCAGCATTGATTTCAGCCTCTGCCAGTGGAAGTGTTGGAGCAGATGTTGGCAGACTCTGACATACAGTATGTCTTTAAAACTTGTTGGGGTGTGAAATTTCATAAGGTCAAAAAATGCTGCATTTTGATCAGCATATACAGGAGTTCTGTACTTTTATAAATTATTTCAGACAAACCAATAGCATTTGCTCATAAAATAGAGAAACTAAGAAACCATACTGGCTTTACGTAGGATATGATAATGTATGTTGCTAGGGTTTTAAAAGCCAATTTCTATCACTTTAAAGCAAATGCTTGCCCAAAAGACCTTTAGAATGAAAATGTGTTCTTAAGTCAATACAAAATACAAGATATTATTCCAATTGACAATAGGGTTTAAAAAATAATTTTCTGTTGAAAGGAAGTCATAAATATCCAAAGAGCATTTCAATGGGAGAAAAATCATTTCCTTAACTAATATATACATATCACAGTGTTCTTTTTAAAAAATGAAATCCCTACATATGAATCCATCTATATAAATAGAAAGGTTCTTTTTTTAAAGTTAGTATCTTTATCATTTAAATAATTTCACAAACCTTTTATTGTTTTATTCTTTAAGAAAATTAAAGATACTATCCATAAGAAAGGCGGGGGCTCTACAGAATGACAAAATGACTTTTATAACATTCAAGACTTTGATTATCTTGAATTTCTTGTTGTTGCTATTTTATTGTATTTTTTGCTTCAATTTTCCCTCATATTGAAGCTAACAGAAAACAACATACAACCAAAATCAAAATTAAGAATGGTATCCAATTAAAGATTTTATCTCAATAATATAGATGTTAGCTCTTATATAAATTTATTTGAACCTAGCATAATATTTAAATGCTTTACTTCTGAATTAACACAGAAAGACCCTTTTATTGATTCATCAGAATTTGAACAGTCTCAAGAGCCTGGTCAGAGCAATAATAAACCTTGTCATCATCATCTCTCAGTTCATTCTGTGCTATGTTTAAGCAAATACGTAGTTTCTCAATTACAAACACTTTTATTAAATATCAATAAGAAAAACTTAACTATAAACATAAAATCTCCCCAGAAAATAATTTCTAATGTAAATTACTTGTTTTTCATCATACAATTAATCAAAAGACCTACGATTATAACAGGAAACTTTGATTAGAAACGCACCAAGTACGGCATCTTACAACCAAGTTCAAAGGTGTCTGTCTACATTTTATAAAGAAAAATTTCAGGGACATATTCAGGAAACTGTGTATCATATTCATTAATTGTAAAAAATATAGAACTATACTGCATGAAAGATCATATTATTGATCATCTGTATACTAAGGAATTTGAAATTCTAAGTTGAAAATTTCTCTGCCCTTAACTATAAACCTAAACTTTTTCATGGGCTTCTCATGTATCTCAAGATATCTAACACATGAGGTCATAACATAAATACAAGGTGAGTAAACAATTACAATTAACTTACTTGCCACTGAAAAGTTGTTGAGGGGATAAGGTAAATCCACATCTTGAGGTTTCTCTTTATATCCTATGAATGAGCCATCTGTCTTCAAAAGGAAATATCTTGGCCTCCAGTTTTTTATATATTCTCCTACATGAGGAAAGCATGCATGTTAATGCTGGAGAAACAAATGAACAGCGGCCTTTATGTGAAAAATAAATTAGGGTACAATATCTGTCCTACAACACTGGACTCCAAAAATTTGTCTAGGCAATTTTCTTTTAACGTAGCTCACAAAAGAAAATATATAAGCCTGCAATTAAGATTCAATAAAAACCCAAACATGTTTTGTTTTTAGTGATTTCACACTTTGATAATTCATTTGCACCATTATTTCTTCAGAAAATCATTCGTCTGAGTACACATTTTGTTCAGTTTTTCATTTTATCAGATGGTTGTTAGAGCATATTTTTCAACTGTTTTAAAAAGCTTTGGTAAATCATCTACACACTATCAAGGAATTTCGATGAAAATCACTTATCATAAAGAGGGATATGAAATAGATGTCTCTGTTCCATTAAACATTCACTGTGTCATTTTTTAAAAAGAAATGGAAAAAAGTCTATTTTCATCATTAAATCTTCATAACTTATTTAAACAATATTTTGCTATTTTGTATAGGAAAATAATCTTCTGCATAAGCCTGTAACTAATTCAAAGGAATGAAAGAACATAGGTTAACAGAGCTTAAAAGTCATGCACACACACACACACACACACACACACAGTCTGTAATATCTGTAATAACACATGGTATGGTGCCAAGCACATAATAGTCAATAAATGTGTATTTTAGCCAATTTTGATATAAACTATTACCTAGCTACCAAAATATAAATTTTTAGCAACGAGATCACCATTTGCTTACCTCATAATGGATTCTTCTTAATTTTAAGCACAGAGGTGCTCCACTGATAACACAAAAGCTGGAAGGCTACCTGGTCCCAACATTTCTTGTTCCTTACTGGGTATTTCTACCCGGTTATTCGATCTCAAATCCTTAATCGAAGAACTACAAAAACTTGAAAATGTTCAACTTTCCCTGCAAATCAACTTCACTTGACCTGTTACCCAAGCTCAAACCAACACTGGACAGCCCCCTCTCCTTCCCCTGGCAATAGCCAGGTCAATGTTGCCTTCACAAGGCTCTCTCATTTGGCCCTGCCAGCGCTGGGCCCACACCATGCACCTGCCCTTCTGCTCCTGCTCTGTGACTGCCTTCCTATCCTAATGCATCCGTCTGTCAGCTCCAGGTCACCTATGTCTGTGTGAGCCACTTTGATTTCATCATTTTTCTGCCCCCAAACATTCTGATTCCTTACTGGTCACTTTTAAGTACATGTCTCTGAGCATAAAACATAAGCAACTCCATAATCTCACCCCAACAAATACTTTAGATGTAGAATCATCCTCTGAATCAGCAATTCTTAAACTTCCTATCTCAGACCTCTTTACACCCTTAAATATTACTGAGAATACCAACAAATTTCTATTATGTAGATTATATCTATAACCTGTACTGCATGCAAAGATGAAAATTTAAATTCTTTTTTATTACCTCCTTTAAAAATAATAAACTCATTACATAAATACCTAACAAATAACATCTTTTTATGAAAATAACTGTATTTTCTAAAACAAAAAAAATTGTGAGAATTGCTTTACATTTTTGCAAATCTCTTTAACATTTGGCTTAATAGAAGATAGCCAGATTTTCATACCTGCTTCAGCATTCCATCTGTTGCAGTGTGTTGTGTTGGTTGAAATACAGGGAAAAAACCTTACTCAAACAGATACATAGCTGGAAAAGGGGAGAGTATTCAGATACTTATGGACATCTTTCTTTGATACTACACCAGCATTTGGCAGTGGTAGTTTTCTAAAAAGGCTCACTGCAGTGTGGAATTTAAAACCATGTCAATGAACTTTCTGTACTCTTACATGAAAATTCATTGGTCTATACTGTATATTGAGTGAATCTATTACACTATGCATAACTTTGTAACCACACATTGGTTGTTTAAAAACCACTGGTTCACTGAATTATACTACTAATCTTCCAAATACTGACATAGTTCATTATGCAATCACACTCATTATCCCTACAGATCTCATCAGAAAAGGAAGCTGGAAGAAGATGCCCAGCTCACGATTGGCAGAGAGATTCTCTAAAATTCTAATTTTGGCAGTAAATACAGTCAGTTCCTTTTCCTCGCAGTAATACACTCAAAGTGCTGCACCTAGTGCTTTCCACTGGATGGAGGCTCAGTAAAATTTACTAAATGAATAAATGAAGGATGTGTGTATGAACATCATCTCAGCACATAAAAGGAACTCGAAGGAAAAGGAAAAGAAAACCTCAGGCTCCTCCTCACTTTTGTTTTACTGAAAAAAATATAGCCCTACTGTTAAAAAATCTGAAAATTGAGAACGTTAGACACGGTTTCCTTTAACAAAGAAATAGTTTCTTCCTTCTTGTACTTCTCTTATTTTTCCACTTAAATGTATTCCACATAAAATGTTAAATTATTAGATACTAATTCTCTAATTAGTAATATAACATTTAGGTTTCAAATGCTACTATAAAACAGTAACATATTTATGTGGGAATAAGATGTTTTATCTGTCAAGCTAAATAATAAGTAGTACTTTAATAAGTATTCCAAAGAGAAAATGAAACAAATTCATTTAAAAGATTTAATGACATGGTAACACATATAAAACTAGGATAACACATTATACAAAAGTATTGAATACCCTTATTCAAGAAATAGGAATTAAATAAACATCAAGTTCTGATTTCTAAGAATAACTTCCTGTCAGTCAGTTAAGTATTTACATGCTCAGATGAAAGCCACGCAACATCACCACATAAATCTCAGGACATTTAAAACATTTGTGTCCTACAGCAGGACTTGGGATTGCCAAAAGGTTCTCTGAGAGTAAATCTATTGTGCATTCCTGACACACGATAGAACAAGGCAGTGCCACAGTCATTCATACAGGAGAACAACTGAAAAGTCAGTGTCCCTTCCTGACAAGAGAAAAATAAGTATTACTTCTCACATATATATCGGTATAATTTTGAACCAATTCAGTTAAATTAATCAACAATTACACAGACATAGTAAGCTAACAGTAGATCTCAAATTTTCAGTGGAAGACTCCTGATTTTTGTTTTCTTGTCATTTTCCATCTGTAATATGAATGGGCTTTCTGAAAAGATGCTTAGAGTGTGTTTACTTATATGTTCATTCATTCATTTATTCATTCTGGACACTAGAGACATAGGAGTTGATAAAAAAGAAAGAAAGACAAGATCTTTAACACATAGAACTTATATTCCAGTATTATACTAGATTTGAGGTACCCAATAAAATTTGGAGAATGGTTCTGAATATTTTCTGAAAGCAGATCCTTTATTATAGGTTCCCATTAACATTCTCAAGTAAAGTTCACATAACAGCATGATGTGTTAGTCTATTTATTTATTTTCTAGTTCCAAAAGAGAAACTGAAGATGAGGTTCTTTATCCTCCAGAGGACACAAACTCACAAGGTTTAAATAAAACAGAAAAATACACTTTATTGCCACCTATTAGACACAGAACATATGAAGCAGATGATTCCTAGTTCAGGGAGTATGAAAGTTATACCTTTTATGTGCACAGTGCTGGCAAAGTAGAGTTGTTTCTTTAGCCTTGGGGTTTCTGAGAAAACCAGCTCTTGTCCAGCTGGCCATAGAAAAGGACCTCAGTACCTTCCTCACTGACTCAGTAGCTTAGGCAGTGCAAGTGCAGGTGAGGTACTTTCTCAGGCTCTTCAAAAAATGCAGCCACAAAGTCTTGGCATTTATGGGGCTAAGAACCAAAAACAAAGGTACCCTCTGTGCTGTCAATCCTTTTAAGACAGACTACTAAAAGTCCGCCACATCTTTGATTTTAAACATAGAATTTACACTGAAGTTTATACTTGCTACATTAAAACCAAATGTGTCATACTTCTAGTCCACAGGTTTCAACTTTTTAAAGAGACAGCCTGGATATAATGAGAAACTTCTGTTAAAAAGAGCAGCGGCATTTATGGGGTGCCAAGTCCTGTGAAAAGATTGTTCTATGACTCCCACCAATATACATTCACAACGTGCATGCACTGTCTTGAGAGAGCTTCAGTAAGCACCACAGTCACACTGGGCATTTCTGACACAACCTCTTCCCACCTTTCTATCTACATTAAGGGTGCTTCCAATTCCTTCTCATACACCTTGGCTGGAGGCTTCATATATTTTTTGAACTATGCTGGTGCCAGTATAAAAACACATATTTATTTCCCAAAAAGAATTGATACTTTGGATTTTTTGGAGACTGAATGGCAAACCCCAGAAGGTACATATATAACCTAATCCCCGGAACCAGGGAATAATACCTAATGTGACAAAAGATGTGATTAAGTTAAGGATTTTGAGAAGAGGTGTTTATCCTGGATTATCGAGTGAGCCCTAAATCCAATTACAATATCCTTACAAGAGTAAGGCAGAGAGAGAGATTTGACACACAAAGAGGAGGAGAAGGCAATGAGCTCACGGAGACAGAGATTGGAGGGATGGAGCCAAGGATCACCTGAGGACACTATACTGAAAAGGACAGGAATGCATTTTCCTCTAAAGCTTCCAAAGAGAGTGTGACCTGCCTGACTCCTTGACCTCTAACTTCTGGCCCCTACAACAGTGACAGAATAAGTGTCCAGTGTTTTAAGCCATGCAATTTATTGCAATTTGTTACAGCAGCCTTAGAATACAATTGTAGGAAGAGGCACTCAGGATGGTGGCACAGGCAGGGCGGTGGAAATCTCCCCCCAAAACCATACACATTTTTGAAAATACAGTAAATACAACTATTCCTAAAAGAGAGACCAGAAGATACAGTAAAACAGCCAGGCTACATCTACATCTGCAAGAACTCGGCATCTCACGAAAAGGGTAAGATACAAAGCCGGACCTGGCAGGACCTGAGCACTCAGCCCACCCCAGCTCACTGGCAGGAGGAAAGGAGTCAGAGTGGGGAGGGAGTGGAAGCACAGGACTGCTAAATA